GCTTGCATGTGCACGGATCGGAGCTGTTCATTCGGTAACCTGTGAAAATTGTACATTTGTTTACAATGCAACATTTACCCAACTCATTGACACAAAACCAGTTTCGAGTATTAAATCAATTCTTCCACAGGTCGTTTTTGCTGGATTTTCTGCTGACTCTCTTGCCCAAAGAATCATTGATTGCAAGCCAAAAGTAATACTGACTTGCAATGCTGTTAAAAGAGGCCCTAAGACCATAAACCTTAAAGCTATTGTTGATGCTGCTCTTGACCAATCCTCTAAAGATGGAGTCTCTGTAGGTTAGTCTATTTACCGAATCTGGCGTTGGGTTCCTTTTCTGTATCTTTCCTGTATTTTGGCTCAAACTGGAGGCCAAGAGCAAGCAGGAAGGAGTATGCAGCACACCTTCTAATTACTATTTTCTGGGTTTTTTATCTTCATCGTTTGCACAACTGTCCTTTAAACCATATTTCGCTCTCTTTACTCTTGTTTTATAAGTTCGTTCTCTGAGCACATCAAAGAAAAGATAGGTAACAGACAATGCTTGTTGGTTTGATGAGTTCATAGCTGATGGTTTTCTGACTGTTATGTCTCGTGCTTCTCTACAACCAGACATATGCTTGACCTATGACAACTCATCAGCGACAACAAGGGAAAACACTAAATGGCAGAATGGGAGAGATGTGTGGTGGCAGGTAACTGCAGAGCTGTTAAATAATTTGCAAAACGCATTCATTTCTTTTTCTCAACGGTTCTTAATGTCTGATTTGGATGATGGTGATACCTTTAGGATGTCATTCCTAAATATCCAACATCGTGTGAGGTGGAATGGGTCGATGCGGAAGATCCTTTGTTTTTGCTCTACACCAGTGGAAGTACCGGGAAGCCAAAGGTAAATTTTTTTCTTTGTTAGATTGATTTTCTTTAACTTCGTTTGTTTCAGTTTTCTCTCTTTAATATGAGTTCTTTAAAGGGTGTCCTACACACAACTGGAGGGTATATGGTCTACACTGCGACAACATTCAAATACGCATTCGACTACAAATCAACAGATGTATACTGGTATGCAAAGACACTTTCCTTTCCTGTTAAAATTACTTACTAAAAGCTACGCAATAGAGTGCTAATCTCTTTGCTTCTCTATCATAAGGTGTACAGCAGATTGTGGTTGGATCACTGGCCATAGCTACGTTACTTATGGGCCGATGCTCAATGGAGCCTCTGTTGTTGTCTATGAAGGGGTAAACCATTAAAAAATTTGTATAGTTTAAGTGATTTATGCTTTTCTGTCAATTAATGTCTTGAATCAATAATTTAACTCCAGGCTCCTCTCCCATAGCAATACATTATTTTGCTTACAGAGCTATCAGCATTTAAGCTTATGAATGTGTGGAAATGAGTTTTACGTTGCATCTCTTTCATTTGGATTGAATTGTTGTCTGTTGGTATGGTTGTGATATTATTGCTCTTGAAACAGGCTCCAAACTACCCTGACTCTGGACGCTGTTGGGAAATTGTTGACAAATACAAGATTTCAATATTTTACACTGCTCCAACATTGGTGAGGTCTCTCATGCGCGACGACGATAAGGTAAGATATATGCAATCTTTTGGTTTGGTGCTTCAAAAGGTACAAGAAGTAGAGACTCTATTGATCTGTCCTTCAAATTCTTGTAGAATAACTAAAGCCTATGTAGGGGATGATACTTTTAGATATCAAAATCACTTACTAATTTTTTCTTTCAACTTATTTTGATTGTTAAGTATGTAACAAGTTATTCTCGGAAATCGCTACGAGTCCTTGGAAGTGTGGGTGAGCCCATCAATCCGAGTGCCTGGAGGTTGGAACACTGATATCCTTAGTCTTTTATTCATGCGATCAGTTGAATGGGAAGTTTATGTTGTAGTTAACCAATACTCTGATGCAGATGGTTCTTCAATCTAGTCGGTGATTCAAGGTGTCCCATTTCAGATACGTGGTGGCAAACTGAAACTGGTGGCTTCATGGTGAGTCTCTTCTCTCTCGCTCTCTTGATACCTCTTGCATGCTCTCTCTCATCTCATGTGCATTAAATTTTGCATGGCAGATAACCCCATTGCCAGGTGCGTGGCCGCAGAAGCCTGGTTCAGCTACTTTCCCTTTCTTTGGTGTTCAGGTCTGTGATTTATAGTTCAAATTTATATTTAGTACGTTGCTTCTTCCGTTATAAATTTTTCTTTGGAAGACTTCACTCTCATCTCTCTCTCTCTTTCTCTCTGTCTCTGCTGCAGCCTGTCATAGTTGATGAGAAAGGCAATGAAATCGAAGGCGAGTGTAGTGGTTATCTTTGTGTGAAAGGTTCATGGCCCGGGGCATTTCGAACTCTGTATGGGGATCATGAAAGATATGAAACCACATACTTTAAACCTTTTGCTGGATATTATTTCAGTGGTGATGGTTGCAGCAGGTGCACAGTCTAGTCTATTTAGTTTCTTCTTTCCACAAAAACCAGTTTTGCAGTTAGTGTATCATCTTTCAGAGATGACATAGATAGATGCATCTTTATGTCTTGATAAGAACCAAAGTCGGGTGATTTTTACATGGCTTTTATCTGAGTTTGATTTTGTATTCCAGAGACAAGGATGGTTACTTCTGGCTTACTGGGAGGGTTGATGATGTTATCAACGTCAGGTATAACACAAGATATTAGAACGATGCTCTCCCTAAGCTTCCAGTGTTCTCCCTATACTTATGTTTGGATGTTATGTTTTGTTTCAATGCACAGTGGGCATCGAATCGGAACTGCTGAAGTGGAATCTGCACTGGCTTCACATCCCCAATGTGCAGAGGCAGCTGTTGTAGGCGTAGACCATGAGGTATGTAGATTGATTATGCATACTTGTGGTGTGACACCGATAAAAGTTCATACATCAACTTGTTAGTCATTGTGTATAAATCGAATAGGCTTATGATGTTTAGGATGTCTAGTAATTGGACCTGGTTTTAGGACAGGGAAAGTTTTCTGGTTCTTGATTACAAAACATAGGGTTGCTTCTTGATTCTTGAGTTTGATTATTGTTCTTGATTTTAGCGTTTTCATTGTTTACCATTGTGAAGTAAAAGTAGAAATCAGTTTGGTTGTTCTCCTGCTTGTATCAGGTAAAAGGTCAGGGAATCTACGCGTTTGTCACTCTTGTGGAAGGTGTTCCTTACAGCGAAGAGCTTCGAAAAAGCCTTGTACTCATGGTCCGAAATCAGGTACGATATATGAAGAGAAAAAAGCAAATAGTAAGCTTTAGAGATGCTAAGTTTAGTTGCACACTTTGATGTTTTTTCTGTTACCAGATTGGTGCTTTTGCATCACCGGACAGAATACATTGGGCACCGGGACTGCCAAAGACGAGAAGTGGAAAGATAATGAGGAGAATCTTGAGAAAGATTGCTTCAAGGCAATTAGAAGAGCTTGGAGATATTAGCACACTTGCGGATCCTAGTGTAGTTGATCAGCTTATTGCACTTGCCGATGCGTGATACTGATATCTTTTATATTTTTCTCTGAATGTAACCATGACCATATGTGCTAATGGAGAGACGTGGAGTTTTGTGAATCTTTGTTGTTATAGAGGAATTGGTGAAAGAAAAAAAAAAACTGAAACAAATTTCAGGTTCTTGTAAGGAATAAAGCGAGCTGACGACAATTTCCTTATGTTTTTTTGAATAAATTGAATTTGATTTTTATGAATTGGGTTGAAGATAAGGTATATATAAATATAACTAAAGAAAGTGAATTGAAAAGTTACAAAAGTTGAAAAGTTTAAGATAAAAGGGAGAGAGTATAAGATAAGATGCACAGAGTTGAGAAGTTGCAAAAAAAGAAGAAAAAAAAACTGAAAAAGAATAATGAGAAACTATGTACATACAGTATTCGTATCTAAGTGATTGGACTGCCTTGTAGGCTACAGACAGAAACTAGATTTTTTAGATTTCCTGACACTTTTAGCAAAAAAATAAAAAAAATTTCCTGACACAAAAATTTATTTTAAATATGTACAATGTCTCCAAGAAAAATCGATAAAGGCAGTCATATAAATGGAACCGATTAAAAAAAAACCATTCCGCAAAACCATATTTTAGCTTTTAAAATCTCACGAATATAGATTCAATTTAATTGTGAACTATTGAAATGCATAATGAATTGATAGATAATTATTTATTGGCAATCTCAAAATTGTTATAAGAAAAATATCAAATAAAATAAATGACAACTGAATGCAAATATTGGTTGACTGCACCATTTTTTAGAGTTTTTAGTTTGTTTAGTATTCCTCCAATGCAATTACTTACTCTGCATGCACATCAAATACTTTTTTTATTATTAATTTTTGGTTATGCCTTAAAATTAAGAAGGTATACGGCTTGTGAAATGTGAATGAAGAAATACAGTATATGCGGATGGTTCCAGTTGATATCTTTTTGTATAATCTTTTCATTCAAAGCCAAAAAAAAAAAAGTTAAAAAAAAAACTTTCTGAAAGAAAAAAAAAATGAATTCATACTAGTGCTGCTGGTAATTCTTAATATAATCCTACACAGATGTTGTGTTTTTTTTTTTTTTTTTTTTGCTAAATTGACAGATGTTGTTTTAATTCATAAATTTCTTAGAATCTAACCCGTAATGAATGTAATTCCAGCAAAGAATGATTAACCCAGTCATTGGAAACAGAAAAATGTCTTGAAAACAATAACAATTATCACATCTGCTTTTATTATATTCAAAATCATCATAACAAAATGTCTTGGAAACACTAACAATTATCACATCTGCTATTAGTATATTCAAAATCATCATAAAAATGTCTTGGAAACAATGATAACAATTTTATAGATGCTTTTGTAATTAAGAAAACGAAAAAAAAAAAGAGGAGCAAAGTTGGCTATAAAAAAAAAACAAAAACAAATGTAGTCTGCAGATAACGAAAGAAAAAAAAAACCTCTGAACTTTACTTTAAACCTCTTCAACAATGGCAGATCCACTACCTATCTTCGTCATATCTCTTGCAGGCCAAAAAACCAATCCCGTAATCTCTCTTCTCTCTATTCTCTCTACGTTTACAACTCACAAAGAGAATCAATTTGTTTGTTTTGATCATTGATGTTGCAGATGATTCCTGATGAGTTTTACTCTGCTCATTTAAAAGGTAAAAATGAGTTGATGAAACTGAAACTGACCTCTGACGCTTCCGACAGAACCTGGGAAGTCAAACTGATCAACGGTCAGAGATTCTCTCACGGCTGGGAAGATTTCTCCAACGCTCACTGTCTTCGAGATGACCACGTTTTGGTTTTCAGACACGACGGTGATATGCTCTTCCACGTCACACCCACCGGACGCAGTTTCTCTCAGAAGAAACAACAGTGTGTATCTTCTAGTGAAGAAGACGATAATGATGATGATGAAGGAATGAAGCAGAGCAGGTTCTTGACAGTAACCTTGAAGCCTTACATGCTCACGTATAAACAAATTGTAAGATTTCAACGTCTTAGGGTTTGTATTTGATTAAGCATTTTTCTTGTAATATACTCTATGGATGATTGGAAATTGCGCAGCGTGTTCGAAGACGCTTTGCGATAGAGAATGGGATGAAGGAGGCAGGAAAGATAACTCTAGTGGACAAACATGGAGTATAGTGGCCATCGTTTCTAGGTTTTGTCAAGGATCAAGGATTTTATATTTCAAAAGGTTGGATAGGTTTTTGTGCAGCCAACGAGTTAAAAGCAGGAGATACGTTCAAGTTCGAGTTTGTTGGAGGAGAAGGCAAAACTCCTATGCTCAAGTTCTGCTGTAATGCCGAGGTCAAAGTGAAGAAACTCCTTGTTGTTTAAGTCAAATTTTGTGCTAGTTATATTTAATTGTATTCAAATAGTTGAAATGATTTTGTATACAGATACAACAAGCACCATTTGATGGCTCCCGAGGGACGGTTCAAGCTTCAAGGGATAAAGACAAAGATGGTCAAGAAGACAATGAGACTCGGGTCCTAAAGAGAGCTCGTGTTTCTACAGAAGAAGGATCCTCTCGCTGCACTCAGGCTTCAAATAAATCCCGTGCTGAACCGGAAAACTTGCAGCGCAAGCCACCGCTTCAGTCTTGCTCAGTTTCTGAGCAGTTGGCAAAGGTGAAACAGAGTATTGTATACACTTTAACTGGTATAAGACAGTTTCGGTCTGAGCTCGAGATAAAGGAACAAAACTTAGAAGCTTCGCTGAAGGAACTCGATGTACTAGGTATGATCTGAGCTGATAAACACTTTGATTTCCTTTCCTTTGTTGGTTCTATGTTTCTGACATTTTAATTTTGGATATAAAACAGGGGAGAAAGTGTTGGAAATCAACAAAATACTCAAGTAGCATCAAGTTTTAAAGTGAGCTGTGAAGGATCAAGAAATGGAACAGAGACTCTTGCAAACTTTGTTTGTCTATGTCTCACTAGAGACGAAACTAAGTTGTATTTTTTTTTCAGTTTTTTATTTGATAGAACTAAGTTATTTTTAATTTTCGGTAGTTGAGATGTTGAGTAGATTTAGATGTTTGTGAAGATTGTCACTCGGTAATTTAGCTGATTTATAAGTCGCTTTCTGTGAGGTTTTTTCAAGGACTCGGTAACATCAATGCGACTCATTCAAAAAAAAGAAAACTTCTGTCAAGTTCAGTTAGAAGAACCCAAAAAGCTCAATGATATTGTTATGCTAAATGGTACTAATTGCTAAGGTTACAAACAATTGAGGATGTAACGGTGACTTAAATGATAATAAAAGAGCAAATACAAAAGGATAAGTCTTTTGTGAAACAACATTGGTAAAATGATGTTTATAATTAAACGGATGGGAGTATTATATAAAGAATGTGGATTTGGTGTTAATTTGTTGGTAAGAGAAAGGAAAAGAAAGAGTAGTGTTGATGTAATTCGCAGTCGTAGTTGACTTTCAAAATCTAAATAGTAGTCCAAATAATCGGCCACATGCCAAAAAAAGTGGCTTCTTAGAATTATTCCACTTACGCATTTTATATTTTGATCAACTCACAAAAAAAAAAAAAAACTAAAAGGTTAACCAGTCAAATTTGTAGTATTTCTAAATTCTAATTATAGTAGAGATGCATAGATACAATTTCCAATTATTTTTTTTTTTGGTTATGTAACCTAAATAAAAGTCTCTAAACGCATGTGTGTTTTTTTTTTGGTTCTTAAATCTTCTTCTTCTAGATGAGACAACTATGCCCATGCTTCCACCATCCAATAAAATAATCATTAATTTACAAGTTGGTGGAAGTATATATAAATGGAGGATGAAGAAGAGAGATTAGATTTGTGAATATGTATAGAAGCATAATGGATCAAATCAACTCAAGAGTCTTTACAATTCTAATTGCTTTGCTTCTCCTCTCTCCCTTATTTCCCAGCCAGTCACAAGGTCTCTCTGTTGGATTAACATTACACCGCAAAATTAGTGAGTCTCTATATTCATATATGTATTCGTGTGTGAATGATTCGATGCTTTCATTGGGTTTCGCTAAATATTACATACTTAATATATATCATGCTCTACATGTTGTTCCTTGATTTTATATTGTTCATTATAAATATTTTACTAAATCATAAAAGAGATCTCAGAATTTTATATAAATGCTAATGTTCCATTGATCTACTCTCTTATAAATCAAAATTTATGGTGAAAATCCTAGACCATTCATATTTTTTGAAAAATGATTCCGCTATTTTTGAAAAGTGATTCCAATATACAATGAACGTGTAAAAAATATAACTAGGGAAAAACAAAACTTGATTAATCTACTAAAGAAGATTTTTTCAATGATTTATAATTATTTCACAAAAATTTGATTCAGTTCAGTTTTTTCAGTTATTCAGTTATTCTGCTACATATCAGTCAAATTCTAAACACTCTTTAGATAGCTTTTTAAGGTGTTAGAATGACTCATAATTTATGATGGAATGTGTTATGATCATCTGATTGCAGTAAGGGAGAAAGATGGGGTGAGACAAATTGGATACCAGAGAAAAGTACAAGTAAGGCCAAGCGGCTCGAGAAGAGGGCCATCAAAGGGTCATCCTCCTGGCTCCCCAAGAATATGAACTCTTCTTTTGTTAGCTTAATTGTATAATATATACTGCTTTTTGATAATACTTTATTATCCACCACTAAAGGATCAATTGGTTAAGGAAGATATATGTAAGATGGAGGTTGACTGGCTTACATTGTTTGATCTTTGGTCTAAGGAGAACTATTAATTTTGGACAAATCACTTTTTGGTAAAAAAATGTGTTTCTACGTGGTTTAATTAATAAGTAAACAAATTAAAACTATTTTGATCACTTTGCTGAGATATCATACCTTAGATAGAGTTGGAACATGTCTAACCTTATACACCCTAAGTATTTCTACAAAACTTTTCAAGCTATTAACGTGATTTTCTTCTTTTTTTTGTGAAACGTGATTTTGCTTATACACTGTTCCTTCTCGGTGGAAAGGCGGTGAAAATAAAAAAAATTCGATGTTTCCAACGAAAATAAAACAATTGAAAATGTTTCATCAGAAATTGATAACTGTTAAAAAAGGTAAAAAAATTTCAACCGAAATAATCATCAGTAAAATGGTTGAAAATTTTCCATTGATTTTTAATAACCAATGTGATCAGAATAATATTCTGACATATTTAACACCAATGTTTTTGACGGATTCTCCCCCAATTATTTTGATTGATTTTTCCGCAATTTTTTAAAAATGGATTTACCATCATTTTCTCAGGTCCAATGATCTTAACCCCTATGGTTTCCTATATTATATTTTTATATATAATTAATTAGAAATTAGTTAATTAATTAATTATAATCAAATATTTGCATAATTTTTTTTAAATTATACTAATATAAAACACAAGAAAATATGAAAAAAAAATATTATACAGTAAAATGATCTAACTTGTGCAGATGCTTTAGCAAAGAAAGCTGCTAACTCCGATCTTCCTTCCTCAATTTTTTATGTTTGTCCTAGTTTTTTACAAGAATTTGTACACATTGATTGCAACACTTTATAGACGGCAAAAAAAAAAATGATCTAACTTTTCTCTGTCTAACAAATTAACTATTAAGAACCTCAGATTATATTAAACAATTTATTTATTGTAGTGGGACAACAACAACATTCGTTGACTCTTATAAAAAGTTAAAACTTCAAAAAAAGCCATCGAAAGTTATCGAGCCGTTACACCTAAATCGAATCTCTTGTCTACATCCTTAAAGCCATAACGGTCATATTTTTCAAAAAGCAAATACGACCGTTAATCCCAACAATGTTCTCAGCTATATCGTCGTCTCAATATTCTTGCGTATCTTCTTTTATATAAACCCTAAAACAAAGCAAAATAAATTCAAGAAACACTAAAACGAAAATCAAAATCAAAAACCTTTAAAGAAGAACAAAGAAAATCAGAGTTTCTCTTCTTTCCTCAAAATCTGTAAATCAGAGAATGGGAATCTCAAAATCTAAAGGAAACACACACAACATCTTCCTTCTTTGCAACTACATCCTCTTAGGCTCAGCTTCAAGCTGCATATTCCTCACAATCTCCCTCCGTCTCTTCCCATCACTCTCCGGTCTCTCCCTCATCTTCCTCCACACACTCACCATCGCCACCGCCGTCTCCGGCTGCTCCGTCTTCGCCTCCTCCACCGCCTCCACCACGAGCGACAGATTATACGGTGCACACATGGTTGCAACAGTCCTCGCGGCGATATTCCAAGGAGCAGTCTCTGTTCTTATATTCACGAGAACAGGGGATTTTCTAAGGGTTCTTAAATCGTATGTTCTTGAAGAAGATGGTGCAGTGATACTTAAACTCGCTGGAGGATTGTGTGTACTGATGTTTTGTTTAGAGTGGGTTGTTCTTGTTTTGGCGTTTTTGTTGAAGTACAGTGATTATTTGGATGAGAGTGTTGAAGATGGTGATGGTAAGTTTCAGAGACAAGATGAAGATCTTAAGGATTGGCCCTCTTACCCATTTCAACTCAAGCTTTAATAATATCAAATTCCTTTTTTTTTCTTTCTATTTGTTGTAGTTCTGATGAAATCTTTGGTTGGTTTATAACTTTATATATTGATATTTTTTGTGTTTGGTTTCATGCTTGTTCTATGAGAGTTGTTATGCACTAGGATGTACAAAATAATTCATCAGTGTAATTTATTTTGTATGAATTTTTGAAAACACATAAAAAGATCTTCAATTTTTTTTTGTTGTCCTCAATTTAAAATTAAAGAAATCTTAACGTTCTTATTATATATGTATGTAACATATCGTTAAGTTTTGACCAAAAAACTATGAGGAAATGTGAAAACTTCAATGTAATCTCTCAAAACCAATCGTTAAGTTCTTACAAGAACGTTTAGGCCTAAGAAGTAGAAATCGAAACTAAAAGAAGATAAAGAAACAGAGACACACAGCCTTTATGGGCTCAAATCAAAAATAAAATCATTGCCAATTCCACATAATACCATTAGAGCTGATCAAGAGATTTAAGTTTATTAAGTTTTTCTTTCCGGATAACGCGTTCATCTGTTGCCACCATCAGGTCTATCCAAAAAAACGTTCCATAATTATTACAGTTCAAATTAAAAAGGTCAAAGATTTCAGACACGACATTTTGAACCGTAGAATTAGAAAGATTGATAAAACCATAAAAGCGATTAAAATTATCTCTACGTATACCCATAATTTGATTTGGTAGACTTACAAAAAAGATTCCAATGACAGAAGTAAGAGCTTGATCGCTTTCTCATGCGATTTTCCGTTGGTGACATTTGTTTTGGCATGACAAAACCAATAACTTAGTTTTGGACCAAATGTGGCATGACACATTTGGTCCAAAACTCCGGCACAAGTTGCCACAACATGTAAAACGTTATCATCTATGATCCTAATTATCCTAAAATATGAGTTGATTAAGGAATAAATCTTACTAAGTTGTAAACTTGTAACGAACGTAGACGTATTTTCGTCGTGAAAGTGCTAAAATTTTAGTTAATTTATAATTTTCTTGCAAAGAATTTATAAATATATTTTCTTTAGTTAAACAATGCTAGTTCCATATTTACACTAAATAGAATGTATTGTTCAGTCATAACATGTCTCAGTCATTATCTAACTCTCATCTATATATTTATTTGTGTAGTGATTTAATGATGTGTCGCTCTCACAGCGAATTTCAAAATGTTTCGCTTACGTGTCAGTTCCAGAATGAGTTTCAGCCGCAGAAAAACCGTTTAGCCCTATTTTCCAATTACATATCATTTTTTATTAGTTTTATGTGATGATGTAAAAAATAACTTTAAACAAACCGCTATAAATTATTATGGTTTAATGCTTAATTTTTCTGTCAAATCAAACCGTTTCTAAAATTTTAGAAAACCAAAATTTTCAAAAAAAAACTAACAAAAAAGTAAAAAAAAAAAGGAATCCATATCTCTAACTAATGGAATATTAAAAAAATTATCTCTAATTAATGGAATGTCACTTATTATGATATATAAGTTAGTGTTTACGATTTCTTATGTTTATAAGATTTTCAATTTTTTATGATTTAGTATAAATATCAACCATTTTTTTCTAATAAAAACGATATTTAGTCAAATCTAACGAAAATAAAAAAAACAAGAAATGAAATGTCTAATAGAATGACTGTATTTTTGATGTCAAGATTAGGGTTTTTGATTTAAAATATTTTAGTATAAATATGTATGAATTCTCTCTAATTCTCTCACGCCCTTTAAAATTGTTTAACTCCTTCCTTCTTCTTCGAATAAGTTCGTACAGTACTTCAAAAAACTACGTATAAAATACATAGAACAATAATCAAAAGATCTCACTATTTAAACTAAATTATTTAAATATTAATATATTTTAATCTACTCTCTTTTACATTATTTTTATAGTCATGTTTCAAACATTAAAATGTAAAAAAATCTAACAAACGAATATACTCAACAATAGAGAATAAAAAACAAATAAATCCAAACTATTATTAAAATTTTAAACAATCAAATAAAAAATTATATCTGCCCACGCAAGACGTGGACAAATTCTCTAGTTGTATTTTTATAATGTTAAACTACGCTAATCCATAAACATAATGTACTCACTTTTCCCCTGGTTCAAACCTTCTTAGAAACAAAAATTACAAAATCTGCATCTGATCCTAAAACTTAGACAGTTTTTTTTTTGTAAGCTTGGTAACAGGTGATTCAGATATCCCATAACATTAGTTGGTAGACATTCCAAACAGGATAAGCTGTATAATGGCTCATTAAACCGAGTCTGTTTGTAACTGTTAATTGAGCTATTAAACCCGAAAAAAGTCTACTCTATAACAATTTGGTAAGTTTTTACTTGAACTGGCCAGATCAATTGATAATGTTAAATCCTTACTCATGACCTAACTCCCATTGTATTTTTTTTTTTTTTATAAACAATCTCATCCATGGAGGAGATCTACCAAATTAACTCTTCAATGTGTGTGTGTATGATCTCTTATTTTTCCAAAATGTGTGTCCAATAAATGTTCATCCAAATCATTGGCTAAGAACAAATGTTACAAGATGATAATATCTCGTACAACATCCACCCAATTTACCACGTCAGCACCATTCACACTCGTATTAACCAAATAAAAATTAATAAAAAAAAAAAATTCCAAAAGAAACGGAAACAAATTAAGAAAGAAGAGAGGAAGAAAAAAAAATGCTGAACAGAGCAATTGCTTCTGCTGTTTCTTCAGTCACTTCTTCTTCTTCCTCCGTTTCTCTCTTACCCAAATCCAAACCTTTCTTCTCTGTCAAAACCCTCTCCGGATCATCTCGTTCTCCATCTTTCTGCGGCGGCTTCACTCGTAGAATCGACCATAAGCCTCTCCGTATGACGACTCGAGCTATGGCTACGCAGCAGCTCGAGAACGCCGATCAGCTCATCGATTCCGTCGAAACTTTTATCTTCGATTGTGACGGTTAGTATCATCTATCAACAACATAATTTAATTTGGTAATGCTAAGAGGAATTTTGAGAAAAAGATTCTTTTTTTTGACCAAATTGAGAAAGAGAATGCTATAATGGAATTTTGGGTTTCTCGATAGATTTTTGGGTTTGACTTGTATGTTAGATGAATAGTAGAATAATGGAATTTCAAATGATTAAATGGCCGAAACGCTTTAAAAGATTAGATTTTTTCTGCAAAAGGGAGAGTTTGTGAGATGATTGAGAAAAAGATGCTATAAAACGATGGATTTTTTTCGATTAAATCTACGATTGGTCCTAAACTATAGTGCCCTCTTTCGATGAAATTAAGTTGGTGTGAGTTTTGATCTACATTGAGTACACAAGATGAGCATCACAATAGTATGTTGGAATCAGAAATCTTGAGAATGTCAATAATATATTTATCTTTGAGCGGAAAATGTGGTGAAATCATCTGTTATTTATGTGATTTTAGGAGTGATTTGGAAGGGAGATAAATTGATTGAGGGAGTTCCTGAAACTCTTGATATGCTCCGTGCCAAGGTTGGTAAGCAATCTCTTGATAGAAATTGATTAGTTTGAAATGGTTTTCTTGGCTTTCTTTTTAACTGATTTACGTTTTAGCTTTTGCAAATCAATTGCTTTTTCTTGGTATTAATCACATTTATTCATAACTTTTTACAGGGAAAGAGGTTGGTTTTTGTCACGAACAACTCTACAAAGTCAAGGAAACAATACGGCAAAAAGTTTGAGACTCTTGGCCTGAATGTTAACGAGGTTAGTGACTTGATTCATAATCTAGCTACGCTTGGTGCTTTTAAGTCACATTTGTTTTTGATTAGTGTATCCTTTTTTTTCATTAGGAGGAGATATTTGCTTCTTCTTTTGCTGCAGCTGCATACTTACAATCTATTAATTTCCCAAAAGATAAGAAGGTAAGCCATCTTTCAATCGAAACTATTCAGCCAAGACTTAGAATCTCAGTCTAATGTGCCAATCAAATGTTGAAAAGAGCTTCCTTTTGCAAGTTCTGATGCATATTTGTTCAGGTCTATGTAATTGGTGAGGAGGGTATCTTGAAAGAGCTTGAGCTTGCTGGTTTTCAGTACCTTGGAGGTCCAGTATGTATCAGTGATATCTTCTCTTTCACTTTGTGCAAAACTGTCACTATTCTGAACAAGTTTAGTTCTTCAAATACAGGATGATGGTAAAAGGCAGATTGAGTTGAAGCCAGGATTTTTAATGGAGCATGATCATGATGTATGGCATAATCATTAGTAAACCTTTGATTTCCTTATGCTTTGTTCTTGAGTTTGAAACTGAGTATATAGTTTTACTGAAAATGCTTTCCAGGTGGGAGCTGTTGTGGTTGGATTTGATCGCTATTTCAACTACTACAAAATCCAGTAAGATCCTCAAATTATGTGTTTCCTTCCACACTTTTGGACTGATATTATAGTTGGTTTCTCTATGTTAAAATTCATCTGCGTTTGGTGATCTAACGTCTTTTTATAATGGAAGGTATGGAACACTCTGTATCCGCGAAAACCCGGGTTGTCTTTTCATTGCTACAAACCGAGATGCTGTCACACACCTTACCGATGCTCAAGAATGGGCAGGTTAGCTTCTTAGATGCATTTCTGTAATTATAATCTCCTCTTAGAGAAATTGATGTTAGTGTAAAGTCTAGTTACATCAACCTAATGTAGTGCTTAGATGAACTTGGCGTTGAATCGCTATAAAAAGTTATTTCTTTGTTTTTTTCATCTTTGAAAAAACCACTATGCCATTACTCGGTCTCAGGTGGTGGCTCTATGGTTGGTGCTCTTGTTGGATCCACTCAACGTGAGCCTCTTGTTGTTGGAAAACCTTCAACTTTTATGATGGACTATTTAGCAGATAAGTAAGGCTTCTAGATTCTCATATTCCTTCTATCTTCTGCTTTTTTCATTCCTGTATTTGCTGAATCAAGTCCAAATGAGCCATTTAGAGTTCTGTTTCCCTAATCATATTCTTCTCTATAACAATGTGCTACAAGTTGCATAAAGCACAGAGATACCATGCTGGAAAAGAATGTGTTTGTAACGAAAGAGATTGCCAAGTGATGAAAATGTTGATCACTAATATCGTGCATTGTTGTTTTATCTTAAAATGAGCAGATTTGGAATCCAAAAGTCACAGATATGCATGGTGGGTGATAGATTAGACACTGACATTTTGTTCGGGCAGAATGGTGGTTGTAAAACTCTGCTTGTTCTCTCGGGTAATAACTAAGTCCATAAACAGTTTTGTCTACCGACACTATCTCGGTTTTAAACCATATCTAAGTTGTCTTCATTTTTGTTTTTTTTTTTGTGTGGACTTGAAGGTGTTACTTCAATCTCAATGTTGGAAAGCCCTGAGAACAAGATACAACCAGATTTCTACACCAGCAAGATTTCTGATTTTCTTTCCCCCAAAACAGCTAATGTATAGGCAAGAAACTGAATCGTTTCATGGGTTTATACGGTTTTCTCTAAGTCTTTTCTGTTTCTTGCTTTGTTTTGGCGAGCTTATTTTAGTTGCACTGCCTTCTGTGTGCATAGTGAATTAGCAAGCCAACGAGTCATGTTTTAGGAAGAGTTTTACAGAATTGAATGTTAAAATGATGAACCAGTGCACTGATATGTAAGAGTTAAGACTCTTCATCGACCTTTAAATCCATTTGTTTGTGGTTATTTACATACTAGGTGTTAAAAAAATTCGGTCTCTGCGGTTGCATGATGAACCACCGCGATTTTGCCATTGACTGTGAAGAAATCAGCTGAAAACAGAAACTGCTTAAAACTTCGTTTTCTTGGTTAAAGACCGATAGATTAATGATATATTTGTGTTATTTTGGTTAAGAAACGTGAGAAATTAAAAATAAATAAAAAGAGTCTGCCGACGAAAATTAGTGTTTTGGGTAAGAAAATGACTCTTATTCCTTGATATCATCATATAGTTTTGAAACTTGAACTTGTAATCCGCATGACAAAGAGTGCTCAAAAACATAAGCATCTTATTTCACTATAACATTCGCAAGTCTTGTCCATGCTTTAAGAAGTAAAAAATTGCGAGATTATGGAGGAAAACATGATTTTTTTTGGTTGGAAACTAAAAAAGAAAAGAGGAATCTAAATTTAGGATGAAGTTTGAAAAAAGAATTTAACAACAAAACGAGAGGCTGAAAAAGGCGATTACCAACTCGTAAATGATATTAATTTTTTTTTTATTGAACTAATAAATAAATGTCATTTAAAATAAGATCTTACAAGATTAATATTGTTCATATATTATGCGTTTCAATTAATGTACTAAACTATTTTCAAAGCACCTTAAAATTTTCTAATAAATAAATGTCATTTAAAATAAGATCTTAAAGATTAATATTGTTCATATATTATACACAATTCGCAAGTCTTGTCCATGTTGGTGGTACGCTCAGCTCCTCGGTTCGGATCGGTTAAAGACCGAGACCGGCCCAATCGATCCCGATTTACGACGGTCTTAGTCGAAATGGGTCTGACCTGATAGCACGGCCCATAAGAGAAAAACCCAGTGATAAGAGGCGGTGAGAGCTGAACGAGAAGCCCTAGGACATCTCCTCGTTTATGTACTATAAATAGTAGAATTGTTACTGTAGAAAGAATCTTTTTGGGGACCCGGAGAATAGAAACCTGAATATTGTATCGAGTTCGTCGAGAGACCTCTGAACTGAACGAACTGTAATCAGATGCAAGAGCTGGTTCGAAGCAACGATGCCAAATTCGCGACTCTCACCGCGCAGGTTTCTAGCCTGCAACAAGAGAGCCCGCTTCGACGATGGAACCTCATCAGCGATTGCCGGGGAGAGCGAGACCCGCAGTGCACGGTGGCACGGTCGGTAATACAACAACAGCAACAGTCCGAAAGCCCGTCCCAGCACGTACGAACTCAACTGACGGCGCGCGACCTGGAAATCGAACGGATGCAAGCCCAACTGCGAGAGATCAGTTCCAAATTTCACCAAGCCACCAGTTCGGCACCTGAGATTGACCGCGTAATCCAGGAAGCATAGAAAACATCTTTCACTTCCCGGATCACCAACGTCCCCGTCCCTAATCTAGAAAAGTTTAAACTGCGTTCATACGAAGGGAACTCGGACCCGAGGCATTTTCTTACCTCGTTCGGCATCGTGATCAACCGACTGAAGTTCACCTCGGCTGAGCATAAGGATGCGATCCAATGCCAATTGTTCGTTGAATACCTCGAAGGCATAGCTTTGGATTGGTTCTCAAGATTGGAAGCCGACTCCATTGATAACTACAAGGAGCTTTCGACTAAGTTCGCAAAGCATTTCTCGATGTTCATTGGGCAGAAAACCCGTAACTCCGAGCTGTGGGAGATATCACAGGGCGAAAATGAATCACTCCGAGACTTCATGGCGCGTTTCAAGCAGATTGTGGCGCACTGCACGGTCGACGATGAAGCCGCCCTCGAAGCAATATACCAGAAAACATGGTACAAATCACCTTTCCATAAAGAGCTTCGCAGAAACAGGCCGCTCACGTTAGAGGACGCGCTTCACAAATCGAACATTTTCATCGCAGAAAAGGAGGAAGAAGCCGCCAAAGACCGGCAGTATTCAGCGTCAAAGCCTGACCAGACCTTAACCACCAAAGATAACTCGGAAACAAAAGTCCAGTTTGGCAAACCGCGCGGAGTAGTAAACCAGGCAGGATCATCAAACCAAAAGTCCGGACAGCCACCAAAATCTTGGAACACATGGAATAGAGAATATGATACGCCGCTAAGTGAACGTTTTTGCGAGTATCACGAACGATATGGGCACAACACGGAGGAGTGCCGACATCTGAGGGACTTTTTACTTCAACAGTTCCGCAAGGGCGATTCGACACTGCAGATTTGCCTAAACCCGGACCCCGGCGGCCGAACCCGCGACCAAACAAACCCGGCAATCAAGAAGCTGCCAAGGCAGTCGATTCTGATGAAGAGCAGGTCGCTCCCCTAAACGAGACCGCAAAGCACCTAATCGAGAAACGAATGCACCCAAAACCAGGAAGAAGATCAATATGATTATGGGAGCCCTCGAATCATGCAACTACTCCGTCCGAGCCCTGAAAGAGTATAGCCGGCAGGCATCGAGTTCGCAACCCCAGACAACGGTCACAACCGTACCACTGTTATTCACCGACGCCGACCTGCGGGGAGTGCATATGCCTCATAATGATTGCCTCGTCGTTGAGATTTAGCTCGGAGACGTCGAAGTAAGCAGGATATTAATCGACACGGAGAGTTCGATAAACGTCATATTCAAAGAAACACTCAAGAATATGGATTTTCCGGATTCCGAGATCAAGCTTTACATGGAATCATTGACCGGGTTCACCGGAGAGAAAAAAAGAACAGTAGGAACGGTGAAGATACCCATCTACGTCGGCGGGTCAGCCCGAATGATCAAATTCCTAGTCCTCAACAAGCCGGCAATATATAATGCGATTTTGGGAACACCATGGCTGTTCGACATGAAGGCCGTCGCTTCAACATTCCACCAATGCGTCAAGTTCCCGACCCCGTCAGGGATTTTCACCCTCAAAGGAAGCCAGATCGCGTTCCGGTTATGCCATCTCACCGAGTGCAAACTCAGTCTCGCACGGACATGCGTCATCAGTCCCTTTCAGAAAGATCGTGCGGCCGCAGTAAGCCAGTTCGGTCCACCGAAACAGAGCCAAGTCGACCAAGTCTGCATTGATCCGACAGATCTAGAAAAATGTGTCGGCATAGGGGCCGAACTCGACAGCAATATTCGGGAAGCACTCATCAGTTTCCTCCAGAAGAACGTCTCCAAATTCGCATGGAATATCCGTGACATGCCCGGAATCAATCTAGACATCACTTGCCACGAGCTAAATATCGATCCTACATACAAACCTATCAAACAGAAGAGACGCAAGCTCGGACCCGAGAAAGCACGAGCGATTAACGATGAGGTCGAAAAATTGCTCAAAGCCGGTTCGATCACGGAGGTTCGATACCTGGACTGGCTAGCAAACCCGGTAGTCGTGAAGAAAAAAAATGGAAAGTGGAGGATCTGCGTCGACTTCACCGACCTGAACAAAGCTTGTCCCAAGGATAGTTTCCCACTACCACAAATTGCTCGGTTGGTAGAGGCAACTGCCGGCAACGAACTGCTATCTTTCATGGATGCCTTCTCGGGGTATAACCATCCTAATGCATCCGGATGATCGGGAAAAGACTTCGTTCATCACAGATCGAGGAATCTACTGCTATAAGGTCATGCCGTTCGGTCTCAAGAACGCGGGAGCCACGTATCAAAGACTCGTGAACCGCATGTTCGCCAGTCAGCTCGGAAAAACAATGGAAGTATACATTGACGACATGCTGGTTAAATCCCTGTACGCTAAGGACGCCTTCAAGCAGCTCGAACTCACCAAAATCCGATGGCAATCACTCTGGAGGTCGATCCCTTGCCCTGAAAATAAAAAAAGCCATCTATTTCTGGCCAACGATGAACGCGGACAGCGAGAAGTTTGTCATGAAGTGCGATAAGTGCCAGTGTCATGGTCCAATGATTAACGTGCCGACCGAGCTGCTGCAAATCAGTACGGCGCCTTACCCTTTTATGCGGTGGGCCATGGACATCGTTGGCCCTTTATGCCGATCAACAAGTCAAAAACAGTATATCTTGATTATGACTGACTATTTCACAAAATGGGTTGAGGCCGAAGCGTACTCGGAGATCACCACACTGGACGTGCAAAAATTCATTTGGAAATATATCATTTGCCGACACGGGGTCCCGCATGAGATCGTCACGGACAACGGACCACAATTTATCGCTGGAACGTTCAATGATTGGTGCGCAAAGTTCAAAATTCGTCTTAGTTTCTCGACCCCGCGATATCCGGAAGGCAATGGTCAGGCCGAGACAACCAACAAGACCATCCTGGACGGCATAAAGAAGCATCTCGAGGCTAAGAAATGCACCTGGGCGGACGAGCTCGAGGGAGTCTTAGGGTCGCACCGAACTACTCCCAGACGGTCGACCGGACAATCTCCCTTCTCTTTAGCATACGGACTTGAAGCCCTCTGTCCAGCAGAAGTGAGCATCCCAACATTAAGATACTCCGTGCTCCCCGAGAACCCCGATCTCAACGACCAGATGATGCTCAACAACCTCGATAATTTGGAAGAACAGCGATGCTTAGCTCTCCTCCGAATCCAGAACTACCAAAAGCTCGCTGCTCGCTACTACAACAAGAAAGTGTGAGGTCGGCATTTCGATGAAGGCAACCTCGTTCGGAAGATCGTGCGGCCGCAGTAAGCCAGTTCGGTCCACCAAAACAGAGCCAAGTCGACCAAGTCTGCATTGATCCGACAGATCCAGAAAAATGTGTCGGCATAGGGGCCGAACTCGACAGCAATATTCGGGAAGCAGTCATCAGTTTCCTCCAGAAGAACGTCTCCACATTCGCATGGAATATCAGTGACATGCCCGGAATCAATCCAGACATCACTTGCCACGAGCTAAATATCGATCCTACATACAAACCTATCAAACAGAAGAGACGCAAGCTCGGACCCGAGAAAGCACGAGCGGTTAACAATGAGGACGAAAAATTGCTCAAAGCCGGTTCGATCACGGAGGTTCGATACCTGGACTGGCTAGCAAACCCGGTAGTCGTGAAGAAAAAGAATGGAAAGTGGAGGATCTGCGTCGACTTCACCGACCTGAACAAAGCTTGTCCCAAGGATAGTTTCCCACTACCACAAATTGATCGGTTGGTAGAGGCAACTGCCGGCAACGAACTGCTATCTTTCATGGATGCCTTCTCGGGGTATAACCAAATCCTAATGCATCCGGATGATCGGGAAAAGACTTCGTTCATCACAGATCGGGGAATCTATTGCTATAAGGTCATGCCGTTCGGTCTCAAGAACGCAGGAGCCACGTATCAAAGACTCGTGAACCGCATGTTCGCCAGTCAGCTCGGAAAAACAATGGAAGTATACATTGACGACATGCTGGTTAAATTCCTGTACGCTAAGGACGCCTTCAAGCAGCTCGAACTCACCAAAATCCCTCGCGGCGAGAACTCGTCTGCCGACGCGTTAGCCGCCCTAGCTTCCAGTTCCGACCCGCATATGAAGAGAAAAATCTTGGTCGAGAGTATCCCAGACCCAAGCATCAAAACCGCGCCGAAATGCAATGTTACCACCCGAAGACGGAACTATGACGAAAATCCGACCTCGTCAAATACGCAACGCAGGAATCCGGCACAGGCAAACAAGAATGCCAAACAGGTTCTTAAGGAGAATGCCGAACAGGCTCTCGAGGATCTAGCCGCCGATCACGACTTCGAGCACATAACTGAAGGAATCCACAGCCCATCGACCAGTGAAAACCAGGAGAACGAGTCCGCTGAAGATTGGACAGCCAAACTGCGAGAATACCTCCTCGACGGCAAAGTCCCTGAAGATAAATGGGCTGCTCGCCGTCTTAAAGTCCGGGCCGCTCGTTACACAATGCATAAAGATAAACTATACCGTTGGAGCGCATCCGGAGTACGCTTGGCCTGCGTCGCCGGGAACGATATAGTCGAAATCATGCGCGAAATCCACGAAGGGTCCGGTGGCAATCACTCTGGAGGTCGATCCCTTGCCCTGAAAATAAAAAAAGCCATCTATTTCTAGCCAACGATGAACGCGGACTGCGAGAAGTTTGTCATGAAGTGCGATAAGTGCCAGCGTCATGGTCCAATGATTAACGTGCCGACCGAGCTGCTGCAAACCAGTACGGCGCCTTACCCTTTTATGCGGTGGGCCATGGACATCGTTGGCCCTTTATGCCGATCAACAAGTCAAAAACATTATATCTTGATTATGACTGACTACTTCGCAAAATGGGTTGAGGCCAAAGCGTACTCGGAGATCACCGCACTAGACGTGCAAAAATTCGTTTGGAAGTATATCATTTGCCGACATGGGGTCCCGCATGAGATCGTCACGGACAACAGACCACAATTTATCGCTGGAACGTTCAATGATTGGTGCGCAAAGTTCAAAATTTGTCTTAGTTTCTCGACCCCGCGATATCCGGAAGGCAACGGTCAGGCCGAGACAACCAACAAGACCATCCTGGACAGCATAAAGAAGCGTCTCGAGGCTAAGAAAGGCACCTGGGCGGACGAGCTCGACGGAGTCTTATGGTCGCACCGAACTACTCCCCAGACGGTCGACCGGACAATCTCCCTTCTCTTTAGCATACGGACTTGAAGCCCTCTGTCCAGCAGAAGTGAGCATCCCAACATTAAGATACTCTGTGCTCCTCGAGAACCCCGATCTCAACGACCAGATGATGCTCAACAACCTCGATAACTTGGAAGAACAGCAATGCTTAGCTCTCCTCCGAATCCAGAACTACCAAAAGCTCGCTGCTCGCTACTACAACAAAAAAGTGCGAGGTAGGCATTTCGATGAAGGCGACCTCGTTCTGCGTAAGGTGTTCCATAACACCGAGGAACCAAACGCAGGCAAACTGGGAACGAACTGGGAAGGTCCTTATCAGATAATGAGAATCGTCAAGCCCGGGGTTTACAAACTCATGCAACTCGACGGAACGCCGATCCTGCGATCATGGAACTCAGCCAACCTCAAACGATATTACTACTAAGTCCCAGCTACCGCGAGCTCGGACTATTCGTTTTACCGCCATCAGCGAGCCAAAAAAAAAAAAAAAAAAAAAAAATCAGTCCGGCTCCGGCCGAACTCACTCCTGTAAACTGAACTACGAGTGCTTGATCCCTTGCAAAAGGGTACATAGGCAGCTCGATTTCGAGTCCAGCTACAAATCCAATAAAATCCATCTTTTTCACTAACTCCACATATCGACTCCCCGGCCAGGAGATCGAACTAAGTATTCCCCATGAATACAATCTCAAAAGCCGAGATTCGTCTCGCCAACACCCCCATGGTGCCCACTATTCAAAGCTGGAACCCAATCCGCACTCACTCTTCCGAATAGCAATCCGCCAACCGCGATTCAAACTCGGAGAGCCTCCCGAGTTCGTCCGCATCGTCACAATAACATCACGAACTCCAAATCCAATGGAAACAAGCCGAACTCCCAACAGTTCGCAATAAAATATGAGAAAGGAAAATTCTAAGTAAAAGTCGCAATAAAGGAAAACCCTGCTCATTTCATTAATACCCGAAATTGCCGAACTAGATGGCAACAAATACAACGCCTAAAATCGGCGACCAAAATAAATCGTTAAGTTAAAACCCGAGCTACGCGGGCAAGATAATCTTTACAACAACATCAAAATAAAACAAGAAAGAAAACTAAGGGAAACTAAGGGAATCATTGGCGAGCGACGGACGCCGGACTCTTGAGACTCGCTGCCCGATCAGCCGAGATGGACTTAGAGTTTGAGCCAAACTGGTCCAAGCCCTCCGGAACTTGCGTCCCTGGCGGAAGCACAATCCTAGGGATGAGGTCGTCGGTCACTCGGGAGGAGGAAGTCTTCATTCTCGAACCGTGGAAGGAGGATGACATCGACCTCCTTTGTGCAGTTCTTGACCCTACGCCCATACATCTCCACAATGTGAGACGGAACGATCATGTTGTGCTCCCTTCTGAGGAAGTCGCAGAAACCGACGAGAGCCCTCGCTTGGTTAAGCTTGAGGAACGGCGCCTTTCTGAGCTCGGACTTGTCCATGAAGTCCTCCATCTTGGCCAGTTTCCCCTCGCACTTGCCCCTAAGCGCGGCCATCATCTTTCTGCCCTAGGACTCGGCGTCTCGGTACCTCCGCCTCTCGAGTTCGCTCGTTTTGAATGACTTGGACAGAGCGTCCATATCCCCCTCCAGCTCGGCAGTCCGCTTCTCTAGAGCCCCGACCTTCTCCTTCAAGACATCGTTCTCCTTCTCCTTTTCGGTGAAGGCCAGCACAGCAGCCTCGTACCTTTCCTTTTCGTCCCGGTACGACGCTTCCAAAAACGCCTCTCGGCAGTGACCTCGGCGTTGATCTTCCTCAGCCTCTCGACCTCAGAATCGTATTCGCGAACGAGCTCATTGGTGTCACAGACGAGCTGAAAATGGAGATCAAAGTCAGACACATTTCGAAATAAAAAGTCTTAAGTATCCAAATAAAAAGGAAACTTACAGCAGAGGCGGATCTCGCGACCCGGGCGTAAGACTTAGGACGAAAGAGGTCCTTAGTC